CCCCAGGGGGGATGGCCACACCGCAATCCCTTCTCCTCCATTCTCCTCTCAGGATCTTGGGCACGCACACATATGCGCCTGGCGTGAGTTTAAGCCACTGGGTCTGGGACTGGGACTCGAACCACAGTTGGCTACATGAGAGTTCAGTGACATAGCCAATACGCTAACTGCTGGTCCCTATTTATTTAATTATTAATTATTATTATTCACATGAGATATGCCAGAGAAAGAGAGAGTGAAAGAGGAAGAGTTAGAAAGCAGGTCTAGGACTTGAACCATGGTTGGCCATGTGGGAATTCCAGCACCTTAACCACCTTGCCACCTGCCGGTCCCTAAATCTCAATTTTTAAAAAGTGGACTGGAAAGAAGGGACTTGGATTTCATTTCAAAGATGGTAATGCTGGAGACCCGATTTACTTGGAGCTAGACTTTATGAGAAAAGAGGGAAATCTAAGCTTCCTTGTCTGTGTTTGGTCTGGACATCACAGTCATGAGACTGCAGTGATGTGTGAATTTCATATTTCCTCTTAATGAACTGGGTGTGGCCTGGTTTTCTGCGGGTGCGTGGCCTCGGGACCCATGGAGCCTGCTGCATGTGCTCAGGTGGCCAGTCTGTCTGCCCGAGCTCCCACTTTCCTGGTTGGAACTTTTTAGTTGGGGCTTGGCATTTGGGATCAGCTGGCGCTGAGAGGTAGCTGGCTGGCCCGGTGGGGCACAGGGGATGTGGATGGCTGTTCACAGTCTGGAATCTGCTCTTTCTGTAGCTGCAGCATTTGCAAGAAGAAGCAGAATAGACACTTCATTGTTCCAGCTTCTCGCTTCAAGCTCCTGAAGGTTAGTGCTTACGAGCAGGGCTAAGGAGTGGGAACCCATATGAGGATTTGAGAACCCCGACTTACAGACTGTCCTCCCTCTGGGGAGTGTGGTGGGTGGGGAGCACAGCAGGCTTCTCGGGGGCTTTAGTGTCCCCTTTTACCCAGCCTTCACATTTACTTCCAAAAGGTTATGTCAGTTTTCCCCTGGGTTTTCAGAGGCATATTTGATATCATTGTGGAAACAGTTTCAAATGAAGAGACTCAAAAAATAAATTAATAAAATCATCCAAATACTGTCAACCAAAGGTAACCACTGTGAATATTTTGGTGTATGTCCTTGTGCATTATTTTTTATGTAGACAAATACATCTAAATATATTGTCATATACTATATTTTACCATTTTTTTCTGTGTATAATATTCATCATTTCCCAATGGAAAACATACATAATTTGAAAAGTTTTAACTTTAGGTTTTTGGTTTTAGTTTTGCTATAGGGTGTGTGCACTCGCCAGAGACAGAAGAAAAGAAAGAGAGGGAAAGTGAGAAATCACTCCCGGGGGGATGGCCATGCCACAATCCCTTCTCCATTTTCCTTTTAGGATTTTGGGCACACACGCACATGCCCAGCATGTTTTCAACCCACAGTGTCTGGGGCTCGAATGCAGTGGCCCATGTGGGATCTAGCTACCTTAACTTTGATGCCACATTTTGGCCCCCAACTTTAGTTTTTAATTATTTGGGGGAATTTTTGTACTTGGTCTAAAATTTAAAAGGTAAAAGTATGATACCATGTAAACATGGTGAACAGTCTTCCTCCTAGTGCTCCTCAGGCCTCCAGGCGGTTTTCTGGTTTGCGTCTCCTGTCATTTCTGTATTTGCAGCACCAGACTTCTAGGTCGAGTTCATTTTTTTCCCCAATTATAAATAGCCTTGATGAATCGCCCTTTGGTGGTTTAGCTTTATCAGTTCTTTCAGGAATAAAATCCCGGCCCAGACTCAGAGGCATGGCCGCTAGTGCACTGACCGTAAGCCGCACAGCCAACCATGGTTCAGGAACCTGGACCGGGTGACCTGAATCACACTGGGCACGTGGACGCCTGCCCAAGATCTGACGAACTGAAGCATTGAGAAGGCGATCGTGGTGTGACAAGATGCTGTCAAAGGTGCCCCATTTCCCTACCTTCGTCCCTCTCTTTCTCCTTGTGCACATGCTCTATCATGAATAAAATAATAAACTTTTTTTAAAAGAAAGAAAGAAAAATTTTAGGTCTAAAAATAAAAATTTTTTGAAAAAGGCTTTTAGCATAGCGTGGCTAGCAGGGCAGATGGGGCTTTCATTCTGCCTCGCTCTCGCTGCCCCCTGGGCAGTCTCTCCCATCTCTGCTGGCCTGCATCACTGGAATGAGGTGTGCTGCAGGGTGCCCTGAACCCAGAACCTTGGCCACGTGAGTCTAGCTGCGTCACCACCGTGCCACCACCTGGCGCCGGATCCTTGATCCTTGATGACGTGTTGCTTGGTGCCTGGTGGGGAGGTCGGGAGGGCGGTGAATGGGCCGCCTCATCCTCCCTGTCAGCTTGGACAGGTGCCAGTGTGTGTCCCCGAGTGCCTGCTGGGAACCAGGATCCCAGCTCAGCTTTGCCCCTACGTGCCCATGACAGATGGTTCCCAAGGACACCACAGGGCAGCCCTAGGCCCTTGGACCTCTGACTTGGTGCTCATGGCCATTCTCCTTGGGCCAGTGTATGGCGGCATCTGGGTGTTCAGAGCACCTTTTCTTCTTTGGCCCTAGCCCGCTGAAGGAGCAGTTTTGTTTGTTTGGTTTAAAGTAAGTACAGAACATACTCACTTGTCCAGGTGTTTGTGGGCCACTGCTATGTGACAGGCATTGCTCTGCTGACACACAGCAGTTACTGCGGGAGACGCGGCCGCACTCTCCCGGAGCTTACATTCTGTAGGCAGGGACGCGGGAGGAAGTGAAAAAATAGCCCAGCAGTGCACGCACCCGTAAAGAGGTAAGGCAGCGCCATGTGGTGGAGACCACGCTGGCTACTGTCGTGGTCGGCCGTGTGGGAGGCCAGCCATGTAGACACTACACCATCGGCTGGCTCCGGGATATGTACATCTTTTTTTTTTTAGAGAGGTTTTTGCTACAGGGCATGTGCTCTTGCCAGAGAGACAGAAAGTGAGAAATCACCCCCCCAGGGGGGATGGCCACGCCGCAATCCCTTCTCCTCCATTCTCCTCTCGGGATCTTGGATATGCACACACACGTGACCGGCATGAGTTTAAGCCACCGGGTCCTGGACTTGAACCGCGGTCCAGCAACGTAGCCATTACACCATCTGCTTGTCCCAGGATATGTACATCTTAAGGTTTTTGTAGATAGCGCTAAATTTTACCAATTCCCATGACTGGTGAGTGTGTCTTTTTCTCTTTTTTAAGGATTATTTGTTTAATTTTATTTATTTATTTATTTATTTGACCAGAGAGAGAGAAAGTGAGAAAGCAAACTGGCAGGTCTGGGATTCAAACCATGGCCAGCCGCTGGCGCCTAGAGTGCCTTTTCCTCTACATACTTGTCAATACCATGGTAACTGACTCTGATTTTTTGCTGACTTGACAGTGAAAAGCACCCCCCTGCACACCACAAGTGTGTGGCACTTCGCACGGTAAAGAGCAGTGTGTTTCGGTTTTTCTCTGAACCGTCCGTGCATGTCCTCTTCCCAGGCTTCCCTTCATATTACCCATTAAGGAAATTAGCCCTTTGTCTGGGACACTTGGCAAATATTTTTGGCTGCTTTGTCCTTTGTGCATTAATTCAAGTACAGTGAGTTAACAGTTTTCTGAAGCCCTGAGCAGTGATGTTTGGGGCACGGACAGCCAGTCCCCCAGCCAGTCTGTCTCCTGTTTAGGCCCTGGAGCAAACACCCCCAGTTCTGATGTCAGCTGGGCACTTTGTCTTGCTGCAGGTCGAAGCTGAGTTCTTCTGTGTATATTTGGCCCAAGAGAAACTGTCATCCTCCAGGCTGACATGGCTCTGGGCAGTAGATGGGTGGGTCCCTGACATCAAGAAACTTCCACACTTTGGTGGGGAATAGGACATGTCATGAAGGGCTCCCCATATTAAGCCTTTTAGAAGAAATGTCTATTTAATTGATTAAAAGAACTAAAGTTTCTTCTGTGAGTGACAGGGAGAGAGAGAGATGGGCACTCTGGACAGAGACCTCACACCACAGTCTACTTCCGGCTCCAGCTAACCCTGATCAGGGGCATTCGTGTGCCCACCGTGTTCAGATATGTCCCCTGACAACGAGCTCAGAATCTTCCCACGTGGAGCAGCCTCACAAACAGCATTGTTACTGCTGTGCCACTGTCTTGTCCTCTAAACTATTTATTTATTTAACTTGCCAAGGGTTGTGTGTGCTGTGCCCCTAATAGAGCATTGGTTATGCCTCAGTCCTTTTCCCTGCATTTCTCAGTCCTATCAGGATTTTGGGCACACATGCATGCGCACCCAGCATGTTTTTCAAGCCACTGGGGCCAAGATTCAAACTGTCATCGGCCATGTGGGATCTGGCTCTCTGTGCATAGCACTTTAGCACTGTACTACAGGGCCAGCCCCCAAAGATCCATGTTTTCATGATACCAAATGTAATCTGTTGGGCCTGCTCCGTGGCCAGATCCCACATGGAGTCCCAGACCCAGTGGCTTGAGAAACACTCTGGGCACCATGCGTGTGCGTGTCCAAAATCCCAGAAGGAGGGCCAGATGGAGAAGAAAGGATTGTGTGCTGACCATTCTTCACGGGGGCTGCTTTTCTCTTCTCCCTGCCTCTCACTCTAGTGAGTTCACATACCCTCAAAAAAAAAAAAAAAAAAAAAAGCCATCTGTTTGTAAAATGAGAACGCGTGTTTGTTTTCACCTAGGGAGCCGAGAGCATAACCACTTACACATTCAATACACACAAAGCCCAGCACACCTTCTGTAAGCGATGTGGTGTTCAGAGCTTCTATACTCCACGGTCAAACCCTGGAGGCTTTGGTGAGTAAAGGGGATCGATCCACAAGGTTGGTGGGGATGCAGAGCGGCCCCTGGGGCTCTGGGTTAAAGTATAGGTTGACCATCCCTAATCCAAACATCCAAAGTCCAAAATGCTCCAGAATGCCAAACTTAACAGTGCCAGCATGACACTACAAGTAAGAAATTCTGCTCCTGACCCCGTGTGATTGGTTGCAGTCAAAATGCTACAAATACAAAAATACTGTATAAAATTACCTTCAGGCTATGAATATAAGTGTAGAAGATACATAAATTAATTACGTATTTAGACCTGGGCCTCGTCCCTAATAAATCTCATTATTGATGTGCAGATAATCCAAAATCCGAAGCACTTCTGGCTCCAAGCATTTTGGATAAGGGCCACTCACCCTGTCCTGGTCGGACAGGCAGGCGCTGGCCTCCTTGGCTTTCCTCCTTCCTGGCAAGGCCCTTCCATGTGCACAGCTTCGAAGGACAGGCCCTCAGCGAAGCTCTTTTCAGATGACAGAATGTGAGACGGACTCTGATCAGACCTTGCTAAGTCCCATGTCTGAATTCAGTAGAGTCCAGCCAGAACTGTCACGGGACAGCATCGAAGTGGGGAGAGAGGAAGGGTGGGGACCTGGCCTGTGGAGCTGGGGGGAGGCAGATTTTATATGATAAAGGCCAGGAGAGCAAAAGAAGCAAGAACCAGGGCATTGACAATGCCATTTTTAAAAAAATTTTGTTCATTTGAAAAATAAGCCGGGGAACCTCCAAGCCCCTCGTCAGATCCTGCTAGGTGGGATCGTAGAACCAGGCCTTAGGCAGTTCTTCAGAGTGACTCCAGTTGCGGGGTGAACTGAGCCAAAACTAGGGGTCCGGGATGTCTCGGAAACCCCTGCTCCCTGTATAAACGCAGCGTCCTGAGCTGTGGGGGCAGCTGTGGCTGATGTCTTCTGCTGGTGTGGGGGTGGCATCACCAGTGTCCCTCCCCACAGCTCCTGTTGCCCCTCTGTCATGTGGAGGCTCCTTCCTGCCTACCTCGGGGAACAGGAAAGGGCTGAGCAGCACAGACCCTGTACGGGAGTGAGGTAGTGTCTAACCCTTAGGTATCTGTGCACAGGGATGGCCTGTGAGTTCTCCGGCTGCCAGTCAGGCTGCTCTCGGCTCTAGGCTGTTCCACTATTTTGTACTCAGCCTGGCACTGAGTGACGTCCGGACTTGGCCATCCTGGCTCAGGGAGTCTGAATCCCACCTGGAGGGCGAGGACAGTGGGCCAGAAGGCTGAGAAGTCGCAAGCTGTCACACGTGCCTTAGCATGGCAGGCAGCGTGGCAGTCATGGAGCTTGAGGTCAGAAGCTGCAGGAGTCACTCAGAAAGCCCGCCGTGGGGGACGCCGGTGCTGAGGGAGGGCTTTGCCCAGGAGCCAGAACAGTAACTGGTCTCACCCACACTCGGGACTCCCCTTTCTTTGTGCCTCTTGCCCCTAGGAATCGCCCCCCACTGCCTGGACGAGGGCACCGTCCGGAGTGTGGTCACCGAGGAATTCAACGGCAGCGACTGGGAGAAAGCCATGAAGGAACATAAGACCATCAAGAACATGTCTAAAGAGTGAGCTTCTGCCTCTCCCAGGAAAAGAGGAGTGGTGGGCGCCAGGCGTGTCGCTGTCCCTGGTGCACGGTGGTGGCGCCCCTGAATGTGGCTGACCCAGGCTGCTGGTTCCGTTGGCCGGTGGCCATCTCGATCTCTGCAGTTTGCTTCAGCTACCAGTTTCTTTAGGCAGCTCTCTGTCCTTCCTCAACCCGGATTTTGACGTAGGCTAGCTGACATTTTTCCTTCTCTTCCCAACTTTTGTGTGATCTTTTAGAAAGAAAAAAATAAATATTTTTAACATTAAAGTAGTTCCTATGTTTATCATTTCCTTTTGTACTTTGATTTTTCTCTCTGATATTTATTGGGCCGGTCCTATAGCACAGTGGGTTAGTGCTGTATATAGAAAGCTGGATCCCACATCGCCGACCACATTTGGAATCCTGACAGCTTAAAAAACATGGTATGTTGGGGTCATAGGTGGTATCGTGGGTAAGGCACTGGACTCCCATGTGGGAAATCATAGTTCAAATCCTAGACCTGGCAGCTTGAAAATCATACCAGGCATGTGTATGTGTGTGCCCAAAATCCCAGGAGGAGAAAGGAAGAAAAAAAATTGAGATGTGGCCAACCTCCTAGGGGGGTGATTTCTCACTTTCTCCCTCACTGTTTCTTTTTCTCTCTCTAGCAAGTGTGTGCACGCTATAGCAAAAACTTAAAAGAGAAAAACAGTGTGTGTGTATGTATGTCTAAGATCCTGACAAGAAGGAGGATGGAGGAGGGGGCTGCAGCATGACCATACCCCAAAGAGGGATGCTTTCTCTATCTCTCTTTTAATTGCCAGAGCACCACTAGCCAGAAAGAGGAAAAACACACACCCAGTGGGATGCAGCCTCATGCAACCCTTTTTCCATTCTCCCATCTCATCAGCTTCTAATTTTTTTTTTTTGAGAGTGTTTTGTTTTGTTTGTTTGTTTTTTTGGTATAGGGCGCGTGCACTCGCCAGAAAGAGAGACAGAAAGTGAGAAATCAACCCCAGGAGGGATGGCCATGCCGCAATCCCTTCTCCATTTTCTTCTTGGGATCTTGGGCACGCACGCACACGTGCCCGGCATGAGTTTAAGCCACCGGGTCTGGGATTCGAACCGTGGTCAGCTACGTGGGAGTTCAGCAACATAGCCATTACATTAACTGTTGGTCCCATCGGTTTCTAGTTTAAAAATGAAAAAAAATTGTTTGGGACAGGCAGATGGTGTAATGGTAACATCGCTGGACTTCCATGTAGTTGACTGCAGTTTGAGTCCCAGACCCGGCGACTTGAACTCACGATGGGCGTGTGTGCGTGCGTGCCCAAGATCCTGAGAGGAGAAGGGAGGAGAAGGGATTGCGGCATGGCCATCCCCCCACGGAGTGATTTCTTGCTTTCTCTCTATCTCTTTCTTTCCAAAAAGTGCATGCACCCCATACAAAAATTTCTCTTAATAAAAAAGAAAAAAAATTGTGGTAAAGAACAAATTTATCATCTTGACCATTTTTAAAAAGAATTATTATTTAATTTTATTTGTTATTGTTGGTTTTCAGTTTGACCAAAGAGAGACAAAGGGAGAGTGAGAGAGCAAGCTGCCAGGACTGGGACTCAAACTACGTCGGCCATGTGGGAGTCCAGCACCTTAACCACCACACCACCTGCCAGCCCCATATCTTAATTTAAGTGTCAATTCATAGGGTTAAGCACAATCCCACTGTTGTGCCACCATCACTGTCTTTCATCTCCAGAATTCGTCCTCTCTCAGAACTGAAACTGCACCCACTGAACAGCGTCTGTCTGCAAAGGAAGCAAGATTTAGGGAGAGAATCCCTCTGCTGCGAGCAGGGGGCAGGTACCTGTAGAAGCCACAGTGAGCTGGAGGTTTGTGATGGGGGAGAAGTAGGTAAGATCAGAAAGCCATATGGAACCTGGACTGGGACAGTCTTAGACAGTTGGCACAGACATTTGGCCATTATTTATAGACCTTGGGAAGCCCTGAACAGCTTCCAACAGGCTGAGTGAAATTCAGCCTGTGGGGTAGGTTTTTTTTTTTTTTTTGAGATTTTTGCTATAGGGTACATGTGCTTGCAGAGAGACAGGAAGGAATCTCCCCCTGTGGGGATGGCCACGCCACAGCCCCTTCTTCATTTTCCTTACAGGACTTCGGGCACACACGCACATGTACTGGGCGTATTTTCAGCCTCCAGGGCCGAGACTTGAACTGCGGTCAGCTTTGTGGGAATCCAGTGATGTAACCATTACACCATCTGCTGGTCCCAGGCAGTTTTGTTTCTGTTTTCAATATTTATTTATTTATTTATTTATTTATATTTTAAGAGTTTTGCCATCGTGTGTGTACTTGTGGAGGGAGACAGAGACAATGAGAGGGAAAGTGAGAAATCACACCCCGGGGCAGGGGATGGGCCCACCACAATTCCTCTCTTTCATTCTCTCCCCCCACCCCCGCCCGGGATTTTGAACACCTGTGTACACACATGTGCCAACCTGATTTTCAGGCCGCTGGGTCTGGAACTAAAATGTGGCCACATGGAAGCTCAGTGCCTTAACCACCTGCCACCTGCTGGCCCCCGGCAGTCCTGATTGGTTTGCCATCCCCCTTCTTGCATCTCATTGCTGCATGTCAATCAGGTTACTAAGACTCCTTGCATTACCAAATACTGGGTATATATGTAATGGCAAATGGTATTTTCTCTTTGCTCATGAAAAATACGAAATGACTTATAAGGCAGACTGGACGAGGGACAAGAACAGGAAATAGAGCTAGTTCCTGCTTTGCTGGGCTGGTGTTGTGCATGTCACTGCCTCACCAAATTCCGACCCACAGGACCTGGGAGTTTAGACCCAGAGCTCCTGGTGTGCTTAAACAATTTTTAAAATTTTTAAATTATACAGGTAAAACAGGTATATTCTCATATCGTCAGCATCCCTTCTGGCCTATTTTTCCTATTGCAGTATTTTATAAAAATATATAGTTTTCTTTATCATCAAAAAACAAATTGCAGGGCCAGTAGGTGGCATAGTGGTTAAGGTGCTGAACTCCCACATGGCTGACTATAGTTCAAGTACTGGACCTGGTGGCTTAAAACACACCAGGTGCATGTGTGTGCGTGTGTCTCAAATCCCAAGAGAATGGAAGAGAAAGGATTGAGGTATTGTCATGCCCCCTGTGGGGTGATTTCTCACTTTTTTTTTTTTGAGAGGTTTTTGCTATCGAGCACGTGCACTCGCCAGAAAGACAGATAAAGACAGAAAACGAGAAATCACCCCCCCAGGGGGTTATGGCCACCCACAATTCCTTCTCCATTCTCCTCTCGGGATTTTAGTCATGCACGCACACACACCCGGCGTGAGTTTAAGCCACCGGGTTCGGGATTCGAACTGCGGTCGACTACGTGGGAGTCCAGTGACAGCCATTATGCTACCTGTTGGTCCCGATTTCTCACTTTTCTCTCTCTCTGTCTTTCCCTGTCTCTGGTGAATGTGCACCCTTTAGCAAAAATCTCTAAGAAAAGAATTAATAAAATAGCATCATACCGTAACTTTTGTTCTGCAATTTGCATTTTTTATTTAATAACATCTTGATTTTTTTTTAAAGAGGTTTTTGCCTGAGGGCACATGTGCTCACTGGAGAGAGAGAGACAGACGACAGAGAGAGACAGAGAGACAGAAAGCAAGAAATCACCTCTCAGGGGAGATGGCCACGCCACAATCCCTTCTCCTCCATTCTCTTCCCAGGATCTTGGTCTTGCAAGCACATGTACCTGGCATGATTTTCAAGCCACTGGGTCCAGGACTTGAACCACAGTCGGTTATGTGGGGGCTGAGCAACCTAACTACTACACCATCTGCTGGTTCCAGCTTCTTGATCTTTTATAGTCAATGCCCTGGGCCAGCCAGTGGCATGGTGGTTAAGGTGGCTGGATATCACATGGCTGACTACACAGTTTGAGACCCAGATCCCAGCAACTTGAAAAACTTAGCAGGTGGCATGATGGTTAAGTGGCTGGACTCTCACATGGCTGACCGCAGTTCAAGTCCTGGACCTGGCAGCTTGCTTTCTCACTTTCCTTCTCTCTGTCTCTCTCTGGTCAACTTAAGAAAAATAAATAAATATAAAAATAATGATGAATAAAATAAAATAATTATTAAAAGAAAAAAGAAAAGAAAAGCTTAGCAGGGTGTGTGTCTGTGCATGCCCAAAATCCCAAGAGGAGAACAGAAAAGATTATGGTGCGGTCATCCTCCATGGAGGGGTGATTTCTTACTTTCCCTCTCACTGTGTCTGTCTCTTTCTCTGTCCCCAGTGAGCACATACACTTTTAGCAAAAATTTTAAAAATAATAAAAAAATCAATGCCCATTTATAAGGTTCTTTTTTAATGCTGATTTTAAAAATTACTATAAGT